ATGAGGTCAAAAATTATAAATAATCATTTTGCACATTTACTGTAGGAATAATTGGATAATAAAGAACAACGTGAATTATTAAGTTGTTTTATTTAGAATCTGAGATTACCATAGCTGAATTATTTTAGGTACTGTTTCTCTGGGGTACTATCATAAACTTTGAGCTAAATTCACGTTCAAAATTCACGGTTCAAAAACATTCTACGGTCATCTCGATGGCAGCGTTGCCGCTACGGCTTGGACACCGCCAGAGCCAAATTTTCGATGTACTCGGAACAGTTATTCTCGCGCCATCGTCACATTCTAGAACAACACATAGTATTATACCACAGATTATATCTGATATATCTTACTCTACGAAGAGCTTGTTCCTGGTATATACCGCAATTGTAGACTTGGGCCTTAATTGACAGCCGTGCAAAGCTGTCTGTAGTTAGGGTTAACCTTAATCCAAAGTTATCCCTAGCTAAGAACAAGTTTTAAGGAAAACTGGTGCAAATGGCCGTTAATCCTCGGAGGTTGGCGGATTAAAGTTAAACGCGTTTAAGGTCAAAACAGTCGACTGTGCATACCGTTTACGATTTTTAAACCGGTTTAAGGTTTAATCGCGATTAAAGTTTGTCGGTGCATACGGGCATTAATTGGCAGCCGTGCAAAGCTGTCTGTAGTTAGGGTTAACCTTAATCCAAAGTTGTCCCTAGCTAAGCATAAGTTTTAAGGAAGACTGGTGCAAATGGGCGTTAACTCCTAAGCCGAAGCGGTGCAGTTGACCCTAAAGTACCTTGTATACAGTTCATTGGCAATGAAAGTGTCTACCGATTTTTTACGATACCTACCGAAAAGTGTCGAGCTTATCTACCGAAACCAGAGAGCCGAAACTCGATTGTCGGACCTGGCAACGCTGGCGATGAGCCACTCGTGTTGGGATGTGTGGTACTGGCGGCCAAACGTAGGAATACGATCCATTTAACACGCATGCGCGGACTCTAAGCGAACAGCTGTTTATTTTCAGATTTCCTGTTTTGTTGATTTGTTGATAGAGGTTAGCATCACAGCATAGAGTAAGGAAAATAAGAGAGGTGGCAATCATATGGAGGTGCTTGTTACCGCGTTACGCCGGTAGCGCTGCAACTGGCTGACCGGCGACTGACGGCACTAAAATTTCGAGTTTTCGGCCAAGAAGTTTTGAGCATGTGCGAAACGTGCAGGACAT